AGGCCACCGTGCGACCACTGGCTTGCTGCCTCTTTTTCTTGCTTGATCTTGCTTAGGACCTTGAGTAAGTGACATTCTAAACCTTGCTTAGGATGGCGGGTATTAACGAACTAGTTTAGGTGCGATTTTGTGGAGATTATGGGTTTTTTGAGTGCTCACTTATTAGGTGGATTATGGATGGATTTATGGACGACTTGGTGGTTATTTAGAGACCAAATAGGGGTTGATTATGGTGGATTTATATGCTGGAAAAAGCGGTTGAATATGGCAAGTATATGGTTTGATTTGTGAACTACACATATTGGAATATTGTACCGGTGTCGTGGTTGATTTATGCTACCTTCGTGGTTGAGTTTATTGCTTGAAAAATGAGTGTAATATGTTGAGTTGTGGGCTGTGATCGTTCGCTTAGTTGTAGCTTAGTATGCTTGGTGAAAGGTGATATGAATGGTTGACATTTGGATCCCGTTAGCGTGAGCGTGGGTTGATTTGAATTAGCTAGAGATTGAGCTTGTTGTATGACGTTTGAACATGTGATATGCGTGAGGAATTGATGTGTACGCGATGTGCGCATGATCACTAAAAAGCCCTGAGACGTTTTATATGGGGTCAAGATAAAATATGGTGTGCTAATGTACTCGTGTGATCACTTAATCCCTGAGGTGTGTTACGCGAGCTGTAGAAGTGTTGTTGAGCTTGAGTCGTTTTGACGTGAGTCGTGGAATGAAAGTTGGACCCGAGGCGTGTTTACGCGGGTCATGAATAATCTGGACACGAGTGCTTGAGTGCATTGATAAATGCGAGATGTTGAGCTTGAGATTGAAAATGTCCAGATTATCATAAGTGCATGAGCATGTATTGATTGTGTCTCGGGATTGATTGTATGCTTGTGATGATTGGCATATTGTTATGATTGGACTAACGTGCAGGGTTTGTGCGTGAGCCGAGGCAAGGTAAGTATGCCGTGGTTGTTATAGCTTGTTGATTGAATGATTTTAGTGCTTGAATTAGTCTGGAGGTACGTGTTAGCCTAGGTGGGGTTTAGGGTGTTCGCTTATTGAGAAGTATTCTCATGGTTGTTTAACCAAACCATTTCAGACCCCCGACCTGGACCATGAACACTCCCCCGCAATGTTTTGGGATATCGGTGCACTCTAAGCACTCGGTAGTCGAGCACCTGGTTGGTGAGAACCAGGCTTGGATTAAGCGTACTACTGTGATTTGGGTAGATGTAGGTGAACCCCAGTTGCAATCCAATAAGTTCACAGCATGGTGTTTCTGAGATGATTTTGATGAATTTGGACCCGTTCGGAGTTTTGATGTCCCGCATGATGGAGTCGGTGATTGGGATTCGTCGGTCGTTCCTCCTCTTGATGGTGAGCTGACTAGTGCTGAGACGGGCCCTATGAAGTCAGGCCCTGCACCTGCACCTGCACATGTACCTGTACCCATGGACCCCGAGCCTATGGAGGTCGAGCCCGACCTAGAGCCCGAGGAGTTATACCAGGAGGCAGTCCCTATGGAGCCGGAGGTCGAACATGAGCTGACTGAAGAGTTTGAAGACCCCGAAGGAGAGTACAGGGAGCCTGAAGAAGAGTTTGAAAAGGAGCCTGAAGAAGAAGAACCCGAGGAAGAACCGCCGATTGAGATCCCATCAGAGTCGGGATCCGAGGATAACCCGATTGAGATTTAGGCTGACTCTTAGTCAGTTGATGAATGGGTGGATCCGGGGGAGCCTGATATCGATTCTAAGGGGACTAACCCTGATTGGACACCTTCTAGGTCTCGTAGGGGTTAGTAACGGCTAGTTGTTAGAACCAACTTTTTGAGAATGCTCCCTTTTTGGTATAGAAGTTAACCTACCTAAATCACTTGCCCCTTTTTGATGATAGTGGTTTCTAACCTTGTAAGCCTGGTTTGTTTTGTAAGAATGGATGTTATATGTATGTCTCGTATTATTGAAAGTTGTTCGTTTGGTTATGTGGTTGTTCTCCCTGTTACCCCTCTTCTAATTCTTGTTCGGGAGTTATACTTGTTTCCGCTTGTGTTTGATCTCTGACGATTTAGGGTTGGGTCGACGACGAGCCTGGGACGTCGCATTCAATTTGACCAACTTAGGGTTGTCGCGTGCTCGCTAGGGTTCGGGTCGTGACATCCTGATTGCAAGTGGGAATGGATCCTTTTCTAGCATGGGCATTTTGCCATTACTGGCTATGGGTTGATCATTGCCAGTAGACGGTTGCAGTAACATCACCTCGATTGATGCAGGCGTGGGAGTGAGTTTTCCATGGATGTACTCCACTTGCTTCGTGAGATTTTCGATTGCATTGAAAACTATCTTCATTTCGTTTTCCATATTAGTGAGACGATTTGGCATGTTTTCTTCGGCCATTTTTGCCTGGCGAACGAGTATAATTCGTAACCACCTATCAAGAAGTGGCAATGAATGAGTATAAGACTTCATAAGGGATCAGTCCATAACTTAGTCTTGTACTGTATTTTCATACTCCGTTTAGTCAAGTACTTTTCCTCTTCTTGCAAAACATAAGAGATGCAAAAAAGTTTTTTATTATATATATTTTTTACAACAATGGCAACCTAGTTGCCATCTTCGGGGTTCGAACCCCAATCGTTTCGGATCAATTCATTCTCGCATACCACTAGGCCGAAGCACTGGTAGTGTCAATGGGGCGCGTCCTTTTTTTATTTATACACAATTTTCTCCTTTTTTTGAAAATGACGGTAAATCCCTTGGGAAAACAATGATTTTAACATGTTTATAAAAATAAGGGCATGAATTGGAAGTAAATATTCAGAAAAAGTTTTAGCAACTATTTCTTCCAAAATGACCATAGTATTAAATAGGGGTGTCAATGGGTCGGATTGGGCTGGGCTTTCATTATACTCGACCCGAGACCTTGTTCATCATATACTCCAAGAATAGGGTCGGGTCGGGTCGGTCCGGGTTGGGTCGGTCCGGGTCGGGTCGGACTGGATCGGGTTTAGGGGTTTTTTTTAATAGGACCAATCTTTTCCATTTCCGAGCTCCATCCCGCCCTTAGCAACAGAAGCTGAAGCTCATACAAGCTTAAAGAATCAACATCATTGTTACCCAGAGCCATTGCTCTTCCTAAAATTTCTCACAATTCACACAACAAATTGGAAGATACAGCAACAAGAGCCAGTCGCCTGCATACCCATGACAAAACCACGAACGCAATGCTGAGAATTTAACGCGCGAGAGAGACGGGGGTGTTTACCTGTCGGACATGATGGCGATGGACTTGAACTTGAAGGCCTGGATAAGGTTACGATTGGGGTTGGCACCGTGGCCTTGCCACTTGTCGAGGGAGGAGCTGAGGAACTCGCCGGAGGAGCCGTTGGGCTTGGAGATGACGATGGAGAGGCCGCCGTCGATGTGGAGGGGGTTGTAAGGCCTACCGATGTGGATGTGGTCATTGTCGTTGGACTCGTTGGTGATGGTCCGACACTCGGAAGTCTCATCGATGGAGTGCCCCTCCAGCACCAGGTCGCACTCCGAGCAATTCGTGTCCGCCGCTACTCCAACGGAGAGGATCGATAGGGAGACGGAGCTTGCTAGGGACGTGGGGCTCAGCGGTAGGGCCTTGACTTGGGCGGCCACGGCGAGCGCCGTGAGGACGAGGACGAAGGCCACCACGATCATGTTCGCGAACTTCACGACCGCCATTGCCGCGAACTTGAGTTCGAGCTCTTGCGCAGAAAGAGAAGAGAGCAAAGGGGAGAGAGAAAGAGGGGGAGGGGCTATTCTGGATAAGTTGTATTTGGTGCCAGGGTAAAAAAAGCACAGCCCAGCCCGGCTTGGCCCGACCCTAACAAATACCTACACCTAAAACCCTTACCCAAAAAAGACCAAGACTTGACCCCAAAATACCCTAAAATTTCGAGTCGAGCTGGGTCGGTTCGGGTCGGGTCGGGTTGGCTCGGGCTTTTTTGACACACCTAGAGACATGCGCATGAAAAGTGAGGTTCGATTTCTATCTAGACGGCTTAGTAAAGTAAAGCTAAAAGGATGTCTGACCGTTGCAGTCTCGCGTTGGTGTCAAGTCCTTCTAACCTCAGCTTAGTCGAAAGGAATATCTTATAGTCATGCAAATAGCGACTAAAGATAAACACTTTACAACAGTTAGGAAATTTTTTTGGGGAAAAGAAAGACAACCTCTTCATTGCGGTCTCGCATTCGTGGTCGTATCTTTCTTAACACCATCCTAAAATGCCTTATCACGGCCCATGTCCGGCGATATGGTTATGTGTGCAACAGTGTACTGCTAAATCATTAAAGCATGCACACCAATTTATAAACAAACATCCATTCAAACATTTAGGAAATAATCATTCATTCCCAAACTACGGACCTGCAAAACAAGGGGTTAACAAAAACTATGCCCCTTATAACTCCCAAGTGCAAGAACATTTAACACCTTAATGTCAAGGTCATACCTAGAATCTTTGCTGCCAAAACATGCTTTTGAACAGGGTGAAATTTCTGACCTAAGTCCACTTAATAAAAAGCATGATAATTGGATGATCCCCAGCGGAGTCGCCGGTCTATTGCGACTCGCCGAATTTTTCCATGGGAAAGGGAAAATGTGGCGTAGCCTGGTATGTGCTAAGTCTAGGTCTAGGACTTATGTCACGCCTCAAACTCCATCGAGCACGCGACACACTTCTCTGGTCGAATAATGCGGCGTCCAAGGATATCGTCGACCCAATTCAACTTATCAGAGATTTATATCGATCAGCGAAAGCCATAATTACCCGGACAATAACAACTGGAAGAGGAGAATAAACAAATCCATTACTTAACCAACTTTATACAACATCCATCATATACAATCCATCTCCTATACATGCACACCTCACTATCATCTACACACCACTGATAACAAAAAGATCGATAGCCTGGGTACCCTATTATCCAAAAATGAAACACCTCAAAAGACCTACTCCTAACCCCTACACTAGCCCCTACGCCCTTTAGATGGCGTCCACACTGAGTCTGATTCTTCAACATTTGAATCTGAATCCCCCTGAACTGTCTGCTCCTTTGAGGACTCCAGCTCGGCCTCGATCTCAATCAGGTTATTTATATCACCCGACTTCGCTGGAACCTCATCTTGCTGCTCTTTAACTGGCTCCTCATCCGACTTGTCCTTTGGCATAAACTCGGGGTAGTACTCTGGCTCATACTCTGGCTCTCCCTCGGGTGCGTCCTCTGGCCTCATCTCTGGGTCTTTTTTGGGCTCTTCATATGGGGCCTCTTCTTCTGGCTCCTCCTCTGGTATCACCTCAAGATCCACATCCATGGGATCATATCCCGCCTGAGATTCTTCCGGATCCAGATCATGCTCGGCCCCTGAGGGCTCAGGTGCTGCATGCTTAGGTGCTGCAGGCGCAGGTTGAAGTCCGGACTGCGCTAGACTAGTCTCCAAACTAGTCATCTCCCTATTAGGAGGGGGTATAGCTGATGGATCCCAATCCCTAACTCCACCGAAGGGGACATCGAAGCCACGGACGGGACCAAACTCATCTATCCCTTCTCGAAAGAACCAGGCGGTATAGGTATGGGCCTGCCAGAGGGGTAACCCTACGTCTACCCAAACTACGGTAGTATGCTTTATCCAAGTCATATTGTCATCGATCGGATACTCTACAACTACATGGTCGGTGTGCACTGGTAAACCAAAATGCTCGGGCGGTGGCGGTGGCGATGGGAGATTCATGGCTCAGGTCGGGGTTTTGAAATTGTTGGTTGAAACAACCATGAGATCACATCTCAATAAGCACACACCTTAAACCCCACCTAGGCTATCACGTACCTCCAGACAATTACACACATCCACACTCAGCCATCACATAACAGGCACGCAATTTATACTTACTTGGACCTTTCCTGCGTGCAACCTGCACGTTAGCCACAATAGCACCATTTCCAATCACATGCACATTCTAATTACATTTCACGCATTCATTCCTGCCTCATCACATTCCTTTCACCCAACTCGCCAGTGACCCGCGTAATGGTACCGCCTCAGGCTCACTGCGACTATCTCATTTTTCCACTCGACTCGCCAGTGACCCGCGTAGTAGTACCGCCTCAGGTTCACTGCGACTAACTCATTTTTTCCACTCGACTCGCCAGTGACCCGCGTAGTAGTACCGCCTCAAGTTCACTGCGACTAACTCATAATAACAACACTTCAGGGCCCGCGTAATGGTACCGCCTCAGGCCGTGTATCTTGCCCGCATAATGGTACCGCCTCATGCTCAACACCCACCCCGTACGACACAACTCGCATAATGGCCTCAGGTTGGCCATCCTCCGGTAATACCGGGCATCGTCCCGCGTAGTCGTACCGCCTCAGGATGGATCAATTCCCCGCGTAATGATACCGCCTCAGGGATTTCCGTAACCACACATACCACACCACACACGATTTCTCACTAATTCACTTGCTCGACACCTACATGCCAATATACTGACCGATCACACTTGGCTTGTGCACGCACCAAATCACACACATTTCTCATGCTTAATAAGCACCCCAAACATGGCCAATTGACAATCAAATTCAATTCAGCTCACGCGTGCATGAAACGGCCCACATTTAAATCAATCCACTCACGATACAACAAACATACAAGGCCATTCACGGGCCCACAATCACAGCCATATTCTTAGGCACAAATTCAACATTTCCATGCTCATTTCAAGCCATATCAAGCCCTACCAACCAGCCACATCACAACATGCCAAACCGACACCATTTAGTCCTCAAATCAAGTCGTATGCTCGTCAATAGGAGTCTCAATTTCCAGCATTTAATCCGGCATCAATTCAGCCCCAAAACATCCCCAATTCAAGCTCAACTCAGCCAATTTAAGTCTCCCAATTCAGTCCATTAAATTAACCCCTAAACAGCACCAATTAACCCCTAAATCATCACTAAATAACCCGATTTAGCCCCTAATTGCGTCTATCAATACCCGACGTCCTAAATAGGGTTTAGGGGGCGACTTACACGAACTCTAGATTGTCTCGGCTAAAGTGGAAAGGGGACGGGTGGCCGGTGGCCTTACGGTGGCGAGCGGCGACAGTGAGCGGCTCAGCGGCGGCGTGCGACGAACGGCGGTGGCTGGCGGTCTGCTGGCTTCCTATGGCTGAATAGGACCGAAGGGGGCTGGTGGTGGTGTTCAGTGAGGTGGAGCATGGGAGAGAGAGAGACGGTGGGGCGGTGTTGGTGGCGATGGCGAGCGGCCATGGCGGCGGCGGCGGCTTTGGCTCGGCGGGACGGCGTATTGCGAACGGCTTCCTTGGCCGCGGTTCACGGCCACGAGAGAAGAGAGAGAGAGATTGTCGAGATGGAGAGGGAGAGAGAGAGGGACGGCGTGAAGGTGGTAAGGGATTGGCGACGTACGGACGGCGGTCGGCGAACGGTGGCGCGGCAAGAGGGAGAGGGCGGCGATCAGTGGGGGGAGAGAGGGAGAGTGAGCCGAAAGGGAGGGGAGAGAGAATGAGGAGAGAGAGAGAAATTGGATTTGAATAACTCAAGTCCAATAATTGGTGTCCCTATTTGGCCAAATGACCATCTTGCCGCTCTCTCACAATTCCAATCGATGGCCTAGATTCGATCTTATCTTGAGATCAACGGTCCGGATCGAATCTTTTCCAAAATATCCAAGGGCAATTTGGGAATTTCATGAAAAGTCCAAGGGCAAAATTGTCCAAAAATTTCTATTTCTAAGGCTAGGGCGAAATGACCAAAATGCCCTTCCCCAATTACATTGGCCTTAACAAACTTCCACGGGTAAAATGTTCATTTTCCATTTCTTGCCGAAATTCAATTTTTCTGAAGGATTCGGGCAAATCCGAGGCTACCCGAGCAAACGACAACATCGTCCAAATGATCTGTCGTGACTTTCTAAATTTCCAATGCCCAACTCGGTCTCTAATCAACGACTAAGTTCTAAATAACGTAACTTGCACATATCTCAAACTAACAGGTGGCTTTTGGGGAAATTCGCACATTTGACCCGTGGCCGATACTGAATCATGCCACGTACTAATTTAGTCGGGTTGTGACGACCTCGGTTGTCACTTAATCGCGAGGATCGATCGTTAGTTTCGACGGGCGCGATCCGTTGGTATGGGTTCGGGATCATTCGTTAATTCATTTCGCGGTCTAGCGGAACCACCCGCGATCCACTCGTATGACAGTGGCGAACTGATCCCTAGCTATCCTTGAATCGGCCTATATTGGCTCAAAATGTCACCTCGACAATTTTCTTGGTCGAAAGTCGGTTCACGATCGAGTTGTTTGGTCGCGCGAATTTAAATCCCTAATTAACCTTTCCCTAACGATTAGTATTCCCGAAGTGATCAATTCCGGGCGAGATCTAACTACAAGTACGTCCATAAACTATTCATTTCATAATTCCCAAGTGGGTTGGATTTCAGAATGTCACAACTCTTCCCCCTTATAAAAAATTTCGTCCTCGAAATTTACAAATCAAACTATCTATTCAAACAAGTGGGGGTATTGACGTTGCATTTTCTCTTCACTTTCCCAGGTTGCGCCTTCTATCCCGTGGTGTTCCCAAACAACCTTGACCATCGGGATTGTCTTGTTCCTTAAAACTCGTTCTTTCCGATGTTCAATCCTTACTGGTCTCTCGACATATGACACCCTGTCATCAACTTCTATCTCCTCATAATTCGACACGTGAGTTGGGTCTGGCTCATATTTCCTCAACATCGATACGCGGAACACATTATGCACTTGCGACAAATTTGGCAGAAGTGCAAGGCGATAAGCTAAGTCTTCAATTCTTTCTAAAACCTCAAAAGGTCCCACGTACCTCGGACTCAACTTCCTTTTCTTACCGAATCTGGATAGTCCTCTCACGGGCGATACCTTAAGGAATACGTGATCCCTTACTTGAAACTCTAAAGGTCTTCGCCTTCTGTCTGTATAACTTTTCTGACGGCTTTGAGTTGTTTTCAGCCTTTCACGAATTACCTTAATAGCCTTAACTGACTGTTGAACTAATTCTGGCCCGGTTATACTCCTTTCTCCTACTTCGTCCCAACACATGGGCGTCCTACATGATCTACCATATAGCGCTTCAAATGGCACCATTCTGATGCTCTGCTGAAAACTATTATTATAGGCAAACTCTGCTAAGGGCAATTGCTCTTCCCACTTACCCTGAAAGTCCAATACACATGCCCTAAGCATATCCTCTAAAGTCTGAATTGTTCTCTTAGATTGGCCATCTGTTTGCGGATGATAAGCTATACTAAACTGCAGCTTTGATCCTAATGCCGTCTGCAGACTTTTCCAAAAATTGGCGATAAACCTAGGATCACGATATGAGGTTATCGTCACTGGCACCCCATGCAATCAAACTATCTGTTGCACATACAGCTCAGTATATCGATCTAATGCGAAGTCCTTTCGTACCGCCAAAAAGTGTGCCGACTTTGTCAATCTGTCGACAATCACCCAAATAGTATCATGGCCTCTTTGGCTCCTTGATAATCCCGTCACAAAATCCATAGTTATATGCTCCCATTTCCATTCTGGGATTTCCAAAGGTCGCAATAATCCTCCGGGCTTACAATGTTGCGCCTTCACTTGCTGGCACGTAAGACACTTGGGCAAATGCCTGTCTATGTCCACCTTCATGCCATTCCATCAATAATACTGCCTCAAATTCTGATACATTTTGGTACTACCTGGGTGGATACTATAACTACTACGATGCGCTTCGAACAAAATTTCTTCCTTAAGTTTTGCATTGTCCGGCACGCACAATCTTCCTCGGAACTTCAATATCCCGTCTTCGGATATCTGGAAGTCCGGCTTTCTCTTGGTATCATTCATCTCTAGAATCCTTTGGATTTCTTGATCCGTAGATTACAAAGTCCTGATCTTAGCCTGAATCTCTGGTTCAATCCTCAGTGTGGCTAATAAACTCGAGACTTGACTTACTTCGAATGTAAACTCCGAGTCTCGTACTTTTTCCAACAATGTCCATTCCTTGACCATTAAGTGTGCGATGCTTGACTTCTGACTCAATGCATCAACTACCTGGTTAGCCTTCCCGGGGTGATATAATACATCACAATCGTAATCCTTTAGCAACTCCATCCACCGACGCTACCTCATATTTAACTCTTTTTGAGAAAACAGATATTTAAGGCTCTAGTGATCTATATATATCTGAAATTTCTCTCCGCATAGATAAAGTCGCCAAATCTTAAGGGCGAATACTATAGCGGCTAACTCCAAATTATGCGTCGGGTAGTTCAACTCATGCGGTCTTAACTGCCTTGATGCGTAGACCACTACTTGTCCATTTTGCATGAGTATACACCCCAGTCCTTTCAACGACGCATCACTATAAATTCGTATCCTCCGGGTTCTGATGGAATAGTTAACTCCGGTGCCGTGGTTAATCTATGCTTTAATTTGTGAAAACTCCTTTCACATTTGTCGGTCCATTCAAACCTTGTTTCCTTTTTCAACAAATGTGTCAACGGTGTTGCTATTACCGAAAATCCTTCTATGAAACGTCGGCAATATCCTGCCAAACCTAGAAAGCTTCAAACCTTTGTTACCGTCGTCGGTCTCGGTCACTTCATTACCGCCTCAATCTTCACTGGATCTACTGAGATTCCTTCCCCAGAGATCACGTGTCCAAGAAATGCTACTCGATTGAGCCAGAACTCGCACTTGCTAAACTTCGCATACAGTGCGTTCTCTCTTAAAGTCTACAAAACTTTACTCAAATGAAACTCATGCTCCTCTAGACTCTTCGAGTACACCAGTATATCGTCTATGAAGACTATCACGAATTGGTCTAAGAACTCCTTAAACACCCGATTCATTAAGTCCATAAAGGCAGCAGGAGCGTTTGTCAATCCGAACGGCATTACCGTAAATTCATAATGTCCATACCTCGTCCTAAATGCCGTCTTCGGTATATCCTCATTTCTAATCCTCAATTGATGATATCACGTTCTCAAATCAATTTTAGAAAACACCGAAGCCCCTTGTAATTAGTTAAACAAATCATCAATTCTCGGCAGGGGATATTATTTTTGATCGTCACCTGATTTAGCTGCCTGTAATCAATACATAACCTTAACGATCCATCTTTCTTCCTCACAAATAAAACTGGCGCTCCCTACGGAGACGCACTCGGACAAATAAATCCTTTGTCCAATAATTCTTGCATTTGCACCTTTAACTCCTTTAATTCCGACAACGACATCCTGTAAGGTGCTTTCGAGATTAGTTCAGTCCCAGGGGCCAACTCGATTACAAACTCTACTTCTCTTTCTGGTAGTAATCTCGGTAATTCCTGAGGAAAAATATCGGGTTACTCGCGCACCACTGCTATGTCCTCTAGCCTCGGTTCCTCAGTCGTCGAATCAACTACAGCCGCTAGAAATCCTTGACACCCTTTGTTCAACAACTTAGTCATTTCTAGCGACGAAATCCATGGAATCGAGGGTCCTTCTCGATTTCCCACAAATTTGAATTCCGGATGTCCAACAGGATTAAATTGGATCACCCTACTACTATAATCCATTATGGCCCTCTGCTTAGACAACCAATCCATACCCATTATCACATCAAAATCATACATGGCTAGAACCGCTAAATCAATTCTTTCCTCCCTATCACCAATCACAATCTTACAATTCGGGCACCCCAACGAGACTAGCATCTTATCATTCAAGGGAGTTGTAACACATAACACAACATCAAGCAACTGCGGTTCTATACCAGTCAACTCAACAAATTGCTCAGATATAAATGAATGTGACGCTCCAGGGTCAAACAAAGCATACGCGGCATGGTCGCACAAAGAAACCATACCTGTGACAACCCCTGGCGCGTTCTCAATCTCTCTTCTGGCCATGGCGTACACCTGTCCTTGGGCTTGTGGCCTAGTCTGATTAGCTGTCTGGGTAGCTCCAGTTTGGTTCCCGTTCCAGGGTGGCGGCAACGCAGGCGACCTATTCTGCCTGAGGTTGGGGCAAAACCTTATATGATAACCAAATCCGCCACATCCGAAACATGCTCCGCCCCTGGTTGGACAAGGTCCAATTCTATGTCTTTCCTCACACACCCGACATGGACCATTCTGATTACGGGCCGATTTTACTATATTTCTTTTAGCAGGAGGGACAAAACGTCGATTACCCGTCATTGGCCTCTTTCCTAACTGACAGTTGTCCCTACCTTGGGCAAACCTCGGCCCAGAAGCGGCGGCCCTATCCGCCAAATCCCGCTCAATCGCTTGAGCCCTGTCATAAATCTCGTTATACTCTCTCAGATTCAATAAAATCATTTGGCTACGAAGGTCCGGTTTCAAGCCGTCTCGGAACCTCCGAGCCCTATCCAACGGGTCCTCAACCATCTTCGGGACGAACTTAGATAACCGACCAAATTCAGCCTCGTATTGATCTACTGTCCTCTGCCCCTAACGAAGCCTCATAAATTCAGATAATTTCTGTTCTTAGGCACTCTCAGAAAAGTATTTACCATTCAAAATCTCCACAAACATCGCCTAAGTCTGGGTGGTACCAGCCGGGAATACCCTTCCTCTGGTGGCTTTCCACCAATCACTCGCATTTCCTTGTAATTAATATACCGCTAATGTCACTTTCTCCTCGTCTGTACACCCCAATACTTCAAAAGCTTTTTCTAATTCCTCCACGCACAGCGATGCACCCTTAAGATCACCTCTACCATCAAACTTAGGAGGCTTTAATTTCAGAAACTGCTCAACTAATTGGTGCATTTGCCTATTCGCATTCACCTGCTTCTGCCCTTGATTCCCATTATTATCATTGGCAGCAGCGGCCTCGGCAGCTCGTTCCTGAGTCTGCCGTCCTATCAGATTACCAATTTTTTCTAGGGTCCTCATGACCGCATCCATTCTAGGATCTTCTGCAGGTCGGGCTCGGCCTCGTTAGCTGGACGGACCCCCAGTTCCTCTACCTCGCGAACTCATCCTCACGATTTCTACCACTCGACTACCTGCTATAATTCCACTCAGGAATTAGAAATCTAGGCCAACTATACCAGTCTAGCCCTAGGCAGTGAATTAACACAATAATTCGCTCAGCAGGTAATTAGTCACCACAGCATAAAGCCACAATCAATAGGGTTTATGCACTTACCTCAAGTCCAGACGCACCTACATTTCAATTGTTATAACAATCAATTCACTCAACAATCACAACAAACAATCTGGAGGCACGCGTAGCTCATTCCACCTTATGACTCGCTAAGGTCTCCCTAGATTACTACCCCAGTGTCTTCGCTCTTTATCACTCTAGACTTCGACCAACTTAGATCGAGCTGTCCTCGCTTTGATACCAAATCAACAAGTGATGTCACGCCCCGAACTCTATCGAGAACGTGACACACTTCTCCGGTCGAATAATACGACGTCCCAGGATATCGCCGACCCAATTCAACTTATCAGAGATTTATATCGATCAGCCAAAGCCACAATTACCCGGACAATAACAACTGGGGTAAAAAAGGGGAGAATAAACATATCCATTACTTAACCAACTTTATACAACATCTATCATATACAATCCATCTCCTATACATGCACACCTCACTATCAGCTACACACCACCGATAACAAAAAGATCGATAGCCTGGGTACCTTATTATCCAAAAATGAAACACCTCAAAAGACCTACTCCTAACCCCTACACTAACCCCTACGCCCTTTAGATGGCGTCCACACTAAGTCTGATTCTTCTGAATCTGAATCCCTCTCAACTGTTTGCTTCTCTGAGGACTCCGGCTCGGCCTCGATCTCAATCGGGTTATTTATATCACCCGACTCTGCTGGAACGTTATCTCGCTGCTCTTCAACTGGCTCCTCATCCGACTCATCCTCTGGCACAAACTCGAGGTCGTACTCTGGGTCATATTCTGGCTCGCCCTTGGGTGCGTCCTTTGGTCCTATCCCTGGGTCTTCTTCGGGCCCTTCATATGGGGCCTCTTCTTCTGGCTCCTCCTCTGGTATCACCTCAAGATCCACATCCATGGGATCATATCCCACCTGAGATTCTTCGGGATCCGGATCATGCTCGGCCCCTGAGGGCTCAGGTGCTGTAGGCGCAGGCTAAAGTCCGGACTGCGCTAAACTAGTCTCCAAACTAGTCATCTCCCTATCAGGAGGGGGTATAGCTGATGGATCCCAATCCCTAACTCCATTGAAGAGGACATTGAAGCTACGGACGGGACCAAACTCATCTATCCCTTCTCGAAAGAACCAGGCGGTATAGGTCTGGGCCTGCCAGAGGGGTAACCCTATGTCTACCCAAACTACGGTAGTATGCTTTATCCAGGTCAAATTGTCATCGATCGGATACTCTACAACTGCATGGTCGGTGTGCACTGGTAAACCAAAACGCTCCGGCGGTGGCGGTGGCGGTGGGAGATTCATGGCTCAGGTCGGGGTTCTGAAATTGTTGGTTGAAACAACCATGAGATCACATCTCAATAAGCACACACCTTAAACCCCACCTAGGCTATCACGTACCTCCAGACAATTACACACATCCACACTCAGCCATCACATAACAGGCATGCAATTTATACTTACCTAGACTTTTCCTGCGTGCAACCTGCACATTAGCCACAATAGCACCATTTCCAATCACATGTACATTCTAATTACATTTCACGCATTCGTTCCTGCCTCATTACATTCCTTTCACCCAACTCGCCAGTGACCCGTGTAATGGTACTGCCTTAGGTTCACTGCGACTATCTCATTTTTCCACTCGACTCGCCAGTGACCCGCGTAGTAGTACCGCCTCAGGTTCACTGCGACTAACTCATTTTTCCACTCGACTCGCTAGTGACCCGCGTAGTAGTACCGCCTCAGGTTCACTGCGACTAACTCATTTTTCCACTCGACTCGCCAGTGACCCGCGTAGTAGTACCACTTCAGGTTCACTACGACTAACTCATAATAACAACACTTAAGGGCCCGCGTAATGGTACCGCCTCAGGCCATGTATCTCGCCCGTGTACTGGTACTGCCTCAGGCTCAACACCCACCCCCTACGACACAACCCGTGTAATGGTACCGCCTCAGGTTGGCTGTCCTCCGGTAATACCGGGCATCGTCCCGCGTAGTCGTACTGCCTCAGGACGGATCAATTCCCCGCGTAATGATACCGCCTCAGGGATTTCCGTAACCATACATACCACACCACACACGATTTCTCACTCATTCACTTGCTCGACACCTACATGCCAATATACTGGCCGATCACACTTGGCCTGTGCACGCACCAAATCACACACATTTCTCATACTTAATAAGCACCCTAAACATGGCCAATTGACAATCAAATTCAATTCAGCCCACGCGTGCATAAAACGGCCCACATTTAAATCAATCCACTCACGATACAACAAACATACAAGGCCACTCACGGGCCCACAATCACGGCCATATTCATAGGCACAAATTCAACATTTCCATGCTCATTTCAAGCCATATCAAGCCCTACCAACCAGCCACATCACAACATGCTAAACCGACACCATTTAGTCCTCAAATCAAGTCGTATGCTCGTCAATAGGAGTCTCAATTTCCAGCATTTAATCCGGCATCAATTCAACCCCAAAACATCCCCAATTCAACCTCAACTCAGCCAATTTAAGTTTCCCAATTCATTCCATTAAATTAACCCCTAAATAGCCCCAATTAACCCTTAAATCATCACTAAATAACCCGATTTAGCCCCTAATTGCGTCTATCAATACCCGATGTCCTAAATAGGGTTTAGGGAGCGACTTACACGAACTCTAGACTGACTCAGCTAGAGTGGAAAGGGGACGGGTGGCCGGTGGCCTTACAACGGCGGGCGGCGACGGCGAGCGGTTTAGTGGCGGCGTGCAGCGAACGGTGGTGGCTGGCGGTCTGCTGGCTTCCCACGGCTGAACATGACCGAAGGGGGCTGGTGGTGGTGCTCAATGAGGTGGAACATGGGAGAGAGAGAGACGGTGGGGCGGTGTTGGTGTCGATGGCGAGCGGCCATGGCGGCAGCGGCGGCTCCGGCTCGGCGAGACGGCGTACGGTGAGCGGCTTCCTTGGCCGCGGTTCACGGCCACGAGAGGAGAGAGAGAGATCGTCGAGAGGGAGAGGGAGAGATAGAGGAACGGTGTGAAGGTGGTGAGGGCTTGGCGATGGGCGGACGGCGGTCGGTGAGCGACGGCGCGACAAGGGAGAGAGGGCGGTGATCGGTGGAGGGAGAGAGGGAGAGTGAGCCGAAGGGGAGGGGAGAGAGAGAAATTGGATTTAAATAACTCAAGTCCAATAATTGGTGTCCCTATTTGGCCAAATGACCATCTTGCCCCTCTCTCACAATTCCAATCGACGGCCTAGATTCGATCTTATCTTGAGATCAACGGTTTGGATCGAATTTTTTCCAAAATATCTAAGGGCAATTTGGGAATTTCACAAAAAGTCCAAGGGTAAAATTGTCCAAAAATTTCTATTTCTAAGGCTAGGGCGAAATGACCAAAATGCCCTTCCCCAATTACATTGGCCTTAACAAACTTTCACGGGTAAAATGGTCATTTTCCATTTCTCGCCGAAATTCAATTTTTCTGAAGGATTCGGGCAAATTCGAGGCTACCCGAGAAAAATGACAACATCGTCCAAATGATCTATCGTGACTTTCTAAATTTCCAATGCCCAACTCGGTCTCTAATCAACGACTAAGTTTTAAATAACGTAACTTGCACATATCTCAAACTAACGGGTGGCTTTTGGGGAAATTCGCTTATTTGACCCATGGCCGATACTAAATCATGCCATGTACTAATTTACTCGGGTCGTGACGACCTCGGCTGTCACTTAATCGCGAGGATCGATCGCTAGTTCCGACGGGCGTGATCGTTTGGTATAGGTTCGGGATCATTCGTCAATTCATTTCGCGGTCTAGCGGAACCACCCACGATCCACTCGTATGACAGTGGCGAACTGATCCCTAGCTATCCTTGGATCGGCCTACATTGGCTCAAAATGTCACCTCGACAATTTTCGTGGTCGAAAGTCGGTTCACGATCGAGTTCTTTGGTCGCACGAATTTAAATCCCTAATTAGCCTTTCCCTAACGGTTAGTATTCCCGAAGTGATCAATTCCGGGCGAGATCTAACTACAAGTACGTCCATAAACTATTCATTTCATAATTCCCAAGTGAGTTGGATTTCAGAATGTCACAACTTAGCTTGGGCTCTCCCAAACCCATACCATATCGCGACTTGTGGTTTAGGTTCTTAACCAGCAAGTGATTTTTATCTAGGAGTCGCAACTAATCACTTTGGGATAGGTCGATTAGAAAATCAAGTAAGGTGTCATGACCATCCCGGAGGTGAACCACCAGGGGAAGGCTAACGGACTTACTAAATGAGAACGAAGATTTCTCTCATGAGGCAATCGTTCAAGTTTAGTGCGAACTTTCCCAAGCCCATCCGATCGTAACTTGGTACTTAATCCATCATGTAATTAATCTTACCTTTTGGAGTCGCCACTAATCGGTTATGGGTCGATTAGACACCCAAATAAAATATGGGAGCATATTTTACTTTCACGAACCAGAGATTCAAGGGATTCGGGGACTCGGTACCTTTTCTCTTTATTTCAAAAAAATGTTTTTATGGATCAAAGAATTACGTCCATAAAATATTAAGGGTTTGACCTTAGAGTCTAAAGGTCCAAACGCCTTAATATATCTTGGTTAATGCAAAGAAAATATATAACTGGATAAGCTAAGATTTTATTGACTAAATGACATGTAGTTAAAATCATGTATTGACAATCCACAAATTTAAACTGATCTCATCCTCACCTTGGTTTGAGCTAACCGCGAGAAATTGATAGTGAAATGCGGAAAGCAACCGAAGGTATGCAACAACAATGAACAACAACGAACGGCAACAAACAATAGCAGACAGCAACAAACAGCGGCAACAGTGGCTCAATAGCAACTGCGAACGACGAATGGCAATGATGAACAGCAAACAACAACGAACGCAGCAAACGGCAGCGAACAGCGATAATGAGTAGCAGCAACAATAATGGCGAACAGCAACGCGAGGATGCAGCAGTAGCGAACAACAACAAATAAAAACGAACATCGGCGACACAGTAGCGAACAGCAACGAACAACAGTAGACAACAGCGAGCAACAACAATGAGCAATAGCGAGCAGCAGTGAAAGAGCAAGAGCAAGCAACAGCGACAAGCAACAGCGACGAGCGACAGTGAACAGTAGCTACGAGCAATATCGAGCAGCAGCGACGCAATGGCAAACAGCAACGAACAAAAGCAACGTAGCAGTAAACAGCAGCGATGCAGCAAAAAACTGCAGCGACACAGGATCGAGAATAGCAAGAGCAACGCAACTAGGCTCACTATAACAAAGGAATTTGCTGCAAATTATCGAGAAGAAGGATGTGGTGGAACCATAGCCATAGAAAAGAACTATTTTGTTTCTCTCGTACTTTTGAACTCTCTTTGTTTCGAGCTTTACTCTATGTTGTGCAATGGCTCAACCAGCCACCTTTTTATAGCAAAAGATCTCCATTTATCATTGGAAAGTCTGAACCTGTGCTCCTATGATCGTGGGGATTGCTGAATTTTAGACTTGATTTGTCGCCGTGAATTAGTGCTCCAAATCTCGCCTCTCCTCGAAATCTTTAGGTTGCCTTTTCCGCTCCCACTCATATTGCCTTGAATGTGTCCACATTTACTCGTCATTATTTATGATTTCACAACCAGCATTATCTCCTTGATTTCCTCCCCGCTCAATCTTTCCATTCGGCCGTTCTTGAGTGTTAATTCTTTCCATATTGCTAGACATATCCCATTGATTCCTATCACGATTTCAATTCTCCAAAATGTGTTTTGCCAAAAAGAATTTCGTGGAATTTGGAGGTGCTCACGAAAGAATGAGGGTTTGGTTCATTCTTATCACTTCAAGCTCCCAATCTTTCCATGACCAATCTTTGACTGAGCTGTC